CCTTCCCAACACTGTCTGTACCTCAGATAAACAGCAAATCATATTCTTAGGAAATAAGAAAAATCTGGCAAAGACCTGAGAGGAACATTTCTAGTCTGAAATGTTCTTAGTGGAAGAGTGGCTAGATGTCCTTCAAGCACAAGAGAAGCCTGGAGAACTATTCCTCCACAGCATGACAACTGGTTTTATGGAGCTTTACTTCTTGTGATGTAGTCCTGGCAAATCTGATTGAGATGAATGGAAAACACCTCGTACCATACGTCCTAAAAACATTACAGAAATCTCCTATGCAGGCAGGCTCGGGTTCTCTGATATAATCCAGTTCTGAAAGTTCACTCAGGTTCGTGCTTGAGATTGATGTTATGAATAAAGGAACTTTTGCCATTATAGTCAAAGGCTGCCTCTTGCTTAGCAGTATGTATGTTGTAGTACTGATATTCAGATCAGCTATCACAGCTTGATGAACACGTCTGTCACAGCAAGTCTGACCTTCTAATGACTGGTCTCCAGCTAAGGCCACAGCAGGACACTCGTGTAATTTCTTTTTTTATCCAGAAGGATGATGGGAGCTGTAGCAGCTGGAATGCTATTGTATGATTGGAAAACAGACACGGTGTATTGCTCTGTGTTGGGTCGAATGGATTCTGCCTTCTTCTCACAGCTTCAGTGGATGCTGAGAGCTGGTTAGATTGGATATCAGGGGGAAAAAAAGTCATTTTGTTCTGCTTCAAAAAATACAGCCAAATAACATTTAGGACAAACTGTGACGCAGCGCTGTCTCTATTTTTGTTCGAATCAGCCACTGGATTGGCAGCTTAGTGAAGAGGTGATGTATGGAAACACAGACATGCAGAGAGCGCCTCTTGTGCTGCGATATGTCTTGATCATCTGCTGGAGCGTGAATCAGTGGTAAACAACTGCAGCTTTAAAGTCTCAATATGGCGCTGGCAATCGGGAATCGGAAGAGCTCGGCTTCTCAGCAGTCTGATATCACACTGCTCTGAAAACTTGGGAGCCTATATTTATAACTTGTTTTTGATTCACTTAAGGTGGAGAAAAAGGAATAATGTGCTCATTAGAGCTGCCAAACTGTCATACTAAATTCTATATACTACTGAATTTAAAATACAATTGGACGTGAAAATAAGCCAGAAATGAAGCCTTATTGTACAATTCAAATTCAAATTTTATTTGTCACACACACACAACCATACACAGTATGACATGGGGGTGAAATGCTTGTAGCTGTACAATGCCCGCCCATTATATGACAGAAAAAAGTTTTACAGTATTTACAATTTACTACAAAATTTACAAATTAACTTAGGAATTTACAGTAAAAAAAATGCAAATAGCAGAAAGAGATTATCAAGATTATAAATTATAGGATTATAGGAAGAGTGTGGTGGTACGTGTGGTGATGTGATGTGTGGAGAGTCCAGTCCTACATCTGGTTCAGGGCCTGAATAGCCTGGGGGAAGAAGCTCCTCCTCATTCTCTCTGTTTTAGCCTTAAGGGAGCGGAAGCGCTTCCCAGACCTCAACAGTGAGAAGAGTCCATTGTTGGGATGGGAGAGGTCCATCATAATCTTCTTAGCTTTGGACTTGCACCGCTTGGTGTAGATGGACAGCAGGTCAGGGAGCTCTGATTGAATGATGCGTTCGGCCGAGCGCACCACTCTTTGCAGATCTCGTCTGTCCTGCTTGGTGCTGTTCCCAAACCAGGTGCAGATGTTTGCCGTCAGGACGCTCTCGATGGTGCAGCAGTAGAATTTTAGAAACATAAATATTTCTAATTATTGATACTTCTGTCTCTCAAAAAGGTTATTCTTCTATATATGGCTGGTTGCTTTAGGGGTTGCCACAGGAAATCATCTGCCTCTATCTCACCCTATCCCTAGTGTCCTGTTCTGCCACTCCAACCCTGTGCGTGTCCTCCTTCGCTACATCCATGAATCTTATCTGTGGTCTTTCCTCTATCGCTCAGAAGGTGTGAAATCAAACTTGTAGAATAGAAAGACACAAGAAAGCATTTCAGCTCCACTTAGATGTTTCAACCTCTTTCCCAAAGATAACCGGACTCAGTGGAATTTACAAAAGAGGATGCTAGAACTGCTGACAATTCTTGCTGTTTACTGGCATCATGGATTAGTATAGCAAAATGCAACACAATGCCTCTAATTGTTAACCTGCTAACATCTAAAAAATGGTCAAAATGGATCGCTGTGAAAGTTTTACTTGGATGAGAGAAGGATATGTGTTTGTTTTCACAGTGGTATACCCGGGAAGAAATGTGGAACTGTTATCTTGTCTGCGGAGGAGCTTGGAAACTGCCGAGTAAGTCCAAAAAGTTTTAACCATCATACTTTTTTTGTTTTTGTAACTGTTTACACTTTAAGTGTCAGAGTAAATGTTTTGCAGTGTTCACTTGTCTCATGTGAACTCGACCCTTAAAGCGTCATTACGTCTGACTTTAAATGAGCGAATTGTTAAATTGTGACACGTCACTGTGAGATCGCCTGCGTTGCATGGAATTGCTCCATTATCCATGTTTAGCGATGTTCACGAGTCCGCTGAAGTGAAGTGGGATATTTAATATCCTTTACTCCAGCGAGATATATTGTGCCATAAGTGTCCTCATTAAACGAGCAGGATATGCCGTGTTACTTTGCAATTGCGTTTGCCATTTGGAACTTGTGTACATAGTGGATATGCTATGCGTTTGAATAGCTATTTAATGAGACCGCCTTCATTTCAATCACTAAAACAGGCACTTGCTCCTATGTAGTGTGCGTTAATCCATGAGTCTGCGTTAATAACCTGTGTCCACTAATGCCCATTGACTTTCTCTCCACACTGCTAAATGAAGATAGTAAATAATCACATTATACTGCTGCCAGTGGAGCAGGACTTATTGACCGGAACAACCGGCCTCCCTCAGAGGCTGAACAAAAAGGCTCTTGAGCTTCTCTGTAAATGTTTTATGATTCCCTAATACATGTAAGCAATGATTCGGTGGTTTCTAACTTCCTCACGTACTTGTTTAGCTTATAAAAGCACCTTGTTTAACAATTGTACCTGACTAGGTGTTTTTTTTTCTTATTGTTTATTCCCTGACAAATAAAGAGTCTCCTGTTAGAGTGAGACTGATAAGACATGCTGATAATGAAACCACCATGATAACCGTTACTGATTCTGCACTGCTGGATTGAAGTGTCAGTGCTCACAGTCATTGGAGGGCTGCTGTGAGTCATCAGGTGCATTGGATCTGCGAATGATAGGAGTTAGCATCATCAATGCAAAGCACCTCTTCAAGAGGCGATTCGGTAATATAAATGCAAATGATCGTTACTGGTACAAATGATGATTTCCCTTCTCCCAGACTCCATTAGAGAGACACCGACTAGACATGTCACCGCAGACCTGCCCTGTATACACAGAATTTAACCCCGAATAGAAATGTCTCAGGTTTGAGAAAAGAACAGGCAAATGAAAGCAACGACGTACTAAAAGCGTGACAGCACTGTCGCCACACCTGCGAATTCTTACAGTCTGGATTGCCACCATCCATCTGCTTGTTGTTTATTCTATAATCCACCTGTGACCAATAAATGGAGGCAGCTGAGTTGCAGCATCGCCTGAGGTAAACACTGCAACTCTTGTTTGGGGAAAGTGAGACGAGCAGAGGGAGAATCGACTGGGGAAGTTCTGCAGGGACTGTGAATCGAGAACTGGGTTGGCTCTCACCTTCGTGGTGGATTTGCCAGGTATCATTAGACAGAGCAACAGCCTCTGCGTGGATCAAAGGCTTCCTCTTGGCTGTCGTTGCCTCTGGCACATAGGAGTGCAGAGCAGTGGCTGGCTCGTTTCACATCTTCCACACAGTCCAGCTCCAGCTCTGTCTGATTTAAATAAAAGTAAACCACACAACATTTAACATATGGAAGCTGCAAACCTCAGTCCTGGTTATCAGTTCGACTCACAATTGTTCACAATGTGGCGATTTTGTTTATAAAACTTGACACCACAAGTTTTCTACAGAGAGGCTTTTTAGTCTGTACAGAACAGCCTCACGTCCTATGAATATGGAAAAAGTAATCAAGTAAATTAAATAAAATAAAATAAAAAACCTCTTGAATGAATTTAAACGAGCTCTGGTAACATTAAAACCCTGATTACACTAACATTTTTCATTTATCAAGCAAACGTTCATCACTTTATCACTGTAGTCGGAAAATTTCCTGTTCTTTTTTGAGCTTACGTAATGCTCATCCTTACATTGACAAAAATCCTTCACCTGAGGCTTACAGTCATAATAGACGAATGCCCGGATGAATGGAGTGATGCGCGAAGCTTATGATTCATTTTGTGATTCACTACAGTCTGCAATCCCAAGGATGTCATAAGCTTGTGTAACATGAATTCAGGCTCTGTGTGCATTGCTTTGTATCTCTTTGAATAGACCCACCCCACTCTCTGTAAGTGGCAGTGTGCATCGCTCTGCCACTTACCCCATGCGGTGATATCTTAGTAGAGCAGAGAAACGGGTAGGAGGATGTAGACTGAAGTCACTATTCCCCTGCTGCTCCTAAACCTCAGTGGCTGAAATGAGTGTTCTGCCTTTTCCTCGCTTAATGAGAGAACACTGCTAGGCTCCGATGTGGGTATGTGTTATCCATGCCTAATGAAGGCTTAGGGCACTGTGCTGCCATGATAGTGTAATTGTAGAAGCTGTGTCAGGGTTAAACAGGACAGTTATACTACGGATCTATTTTTTAAGGGCTTTTATATCTGACCTAAGCAAACTCTCCCAACATGATGTGTTAGTTTCAATGCACCAAACAGCACCTTGGAAAATTAAACGTTCTTGTGAAAAAACCACAGAGGGATAGCTTGACACACTGCAGGTAGAAAATGCAAAGATATTGCAGGCTGGATAGAAAGGTAGATAATAACCGAAAATGACAGTAGGAAATGAAAATGGATATATAGCAACCCATTCAGCTGCCAGCGCTGACTGTTTTAATCATAGCGTTACTCTTCACCTGCTTCAACATTTCCACCACAGTGAAAGGATTCAAACTGTGGTGTAATCAGATTAGCTCATTCTTTAAATTGTTCCAGCGCAACAATTTAATTCTTTTGCACTCTAAAGGAGTAACTGTATTACTTCAAATAGTTCAAAATAAGTGTTGTTTATTTAACATTGGACCTTGTTGAATACTCTTATTTAGTCCACTCTTCTTTTTAGTGAGCCCCTTGAACAATAGGCAGGTTGGAGTCCTGCATATACAGTTAAAAAAAAGTACATAGCTTTCAGTGTGGAAATATGACGCCAGTGAAGTGTCATTCTATCTGAATGTCACTAAATAGAAATAGCCGTGGCTGCAAAGAGTCTTCTGGCCTTATAGAAGTCTGTGAACATACAGCTCTCTGATGTAGCCTCTGTAAATACGTTCCTGCTAAGTTTATGGACTCACTCAATCATTTTAGATCATACTGAATAGAAAATTAAGTCTATTATGAAAATCTTGGTCATACCAGGTTTTAAAATGTTAGATTATCTGCCGCATGAAACCCGCGCGTAGCTACGCCCACCTTTCATCCTCTTCTTTTATGCCATCTTTTGTACTGGCAGAAAATGAGGACAAGCATAATATCCCCCTCTTCAGGAGAAAACTGCAGGAGTTATTGTACTTTGAATTATATAGTAGCTCCGTGGTAGTGCTGTGTCCAAGGCAAAAAGTGATGTTTTTGGGGGTTAGCGAGAGGCAGGTCAGTGGCAGACCGTGTCCGACTGATGTGGGTCAAAGCAATCAATAGAGGCCCTGCACCATGCTGGTTTAGATCTAACAGCGGCACTTCAAAACCTAAAAGCCCTGAAGACCAGCTGGGTAAAGACAGCTCCTCTTTTTGCTCCTTGAAAGCTTCAATGTCTTCTGGCATAAAACTTTAACAGACTGTAAGATGTGATAATAAGACCCCTGATTTACATATGTGGTACGTTTGGGGGGGTACAAAGCTGTTAAGGAGGTTTGAACATCATTCAGGTGAAGATGATGATTGAGATGCTGATGGAGAACACTTTGCAGAGCTTTTCTTCTGATGTGGACATTTACCTGTCCAGTGTGCCCATTATGCAGCGTCATTATTGTACTATATAGTGACCACAGGGAGCCAAACTGGAATCAAGAACATTATGGAGCATGCTCTTTGTCTTTGATGTGGCAGTACACATCGAAATGCTGCCTAAATGAGTATAATTATGATAATACCAGCCTTTCTAATGTATCATTAGCTGCACTCACACCCCCCCACATGCTTTTGTACACAGGCCCCTCCCCTCTTTGTGTGTAGGATGTTAGGATCCATTTATGTGCCTCTGTATGGTTACTCTTATTGTTATTTTATACAGCACAAGGTATTTTCATTTCCTGTGTTCCATCTACATTGTTATGCAGGTGTTGCATAATAAAGAAATGGTAATGAATGCATTTGCAGGTTTTTGAAACTAGAGCCCACTGTTTGGATTTGCTGTCCTCTTATTAAGATTCAGTCAGCACTTTGCTTTTAGTTGGTGCTTCAGTGCTTTTATATCCTGGCACACAGCATGTGGACACAAACATTGGGAGGCAAACACAGCCAGTAGCATGGATTTAAAGTGTCCTGTACTTTTCCGTCATTGCATTTCTCTGACTGGCTTCCTCCTTTGTCTGTAGGATTACGCCACCATGCAATTTTGTGCCAACAAACTGGATAAAAAGGACTTCTTTGGAAAGTCAGACCCCTTCATGGTCTTCTACAGAAGTAATGAGGATGGCACGTGAGTTTGTTTTTCGCATTTGCGTCTCTGTAAGTCTTCTGTTTTGGCGTATCAAAGCCGGGCTGGAGGGCACGAAGCTCCAAGAGGAAGGGGAGCAGGGTTGAGAAAATTGGAAATAAGATCGAGACCCCTTGAACTCAGCTGCATGCCGATGAATTCATGCAGACATGGTTTCAAGGCAAAGCAGTTTTCTGCTTCAGATGTGAGAAGATTTTATCACTGATTTTTTTAAGTGTTTGTTTATATTTTAGAGATGTTTGTTTGAACTGCATCTCCAGGTTCACTATCTGCCACAAGACCGAGGTGGTGAAGAACACACTGAACCCTGTGTGGGAGCCCTTCTCCATCCCTGTCAGAGCGCTCTGCAATGGAGACTATGACAGGTAGGTTGACTGATGATGTGCAGGTGAGTCTCAGGAAGACAAACAAATATTCCCACACACTCTGAGTTTGTTTTTCAAGGAGAAATTAAAGCGGTGCAGAGTTTTAATATGTGGTGTAGCTCTTACAAAGTGGATCAGGGCTATCAGATTTAGAGCAAATAGACAATTATTACAGGCCGACTAGCACTACATGCCACCTTGCCTGGCTCTTTATTGATTTCTCCACAATCACGAGAGCCTTTCAGAGCATTGCAGGGTTTCTGATTGGTTTCTCTGGTGGCAACTTCTAGCTTATCTGAATCTTTTCAGAGTGAAGGGCATTGCAGAATACCCGAGGAGCAGGAAGAGTTTTGGCAGGAAGATAAAATAACACGAGCGAAAAAAAAAGAGAGCGAGCGGAGAGGGAGAGTCGGTCTAAAGATGTTGACAGGTGGCTGGAACAACACAGGAGCCCTTCTATGTGTGTTTGTGTGCAGAAGCAGGAAAATGTTTAGACCCAGACAGCCGTGTGAGTGTGTAGAAGAACATGTCAAACCATGGCCTCCGCTACGCTGGGTGTCAGCGAAGGTTCGCTGCTTTCAATCCTGGCTCTGTTCACCTGCCCGGAGAAGCTAATTGGGTCAGACAGATGGAGCAGAAGCATGAAAGTATCCTGATTCCCTTTGAGGATTTTGATGACAAGAGAAATCTGCAGCCATTTAGGGTCTCTCGGCTTTTCTTTTAAAATATCTACAGTTTCCGAGATCTATGCAGGAGACCTGCTGCACGGCTGTTGCAATTTCTCAGTCTTTTCATTCAATACTTTTCAAATCATGACATTTTTATTTCTCTTTAAATTGTATAAGTAGAAATGGCCTGGTTTCTCCCCCACAGGCTTTTCTTTTGGACTCCAGTAAAATGCGCAGACAGGCTGGTCTGTGCTGTATTTTCTGCACTACCGTCTTTCATTCTTGTTCCCTTTTCTCCTGCAAATACACAGCAAAATTTACAATATATTAATAATGATGTATTGACTATCTCTCTGCAGTCACATTTTTCACCCTCGCGAGAATCTGATAAATCTCCTGCAATCGTTTGTCTTCGATAGCGATCAGAAAGTGAAATCTCTCCCATTTCCACTCCAACACAACGCTGGTTTCAGAAACGAAAATGAAATTGATTCGAGGATCGAGCTGCCCCCAACTCTGCTGATTATAATGATGCTGAGTCATCACAGGCAAATCATCTGTCACAAGTGGCCCCGAGTGTCAAGAATCATTTGTTTTTTTCATACTAGTCGAGATTGCAAAGTTTTCTAACTCTGACTCTGAATGTCTGGTTGGTTTAGAGGGAGATAAGTGATGAGTTCATCACAGACCATTAGAGGAAGTCTCCTTTCTTTGTGCAAAACACAATTCGGACATTTGTTAGCTGGGAAAAATAGTGCAGACACAATTAGTTCAGGTCAGGATAACAGAGTAGCCCTCCGATACTTATCCGCCTCTTGGATCCTCTGACAAGTGACTGACAGCAGCAGCTGATGGGAAGATGGGGGTGGCAAGCCACTAGTAGAAAAGACTAGAAAAGAGGCGGCATCTTCCTCATTCTGCCTATATTCTCTCAGGCTTGCTCATTTGTGTTTTCTCCTACCGACTTATTTTGAGAACTTGCAAAATATGCTATTTCCCAAGAGGTTATTTTTCTGTCTTATGCATGTGGGGAGAAAATGCTTCACCTAAACTGTTGGTGTTGTCGCCCAGCTCTTTACTCTGTGAGATACACAAAAACAATTC